TTTCAAAATGCTTGGTATAGTTTGATAGCCAGCTCTATAAGCTTTAATTTAATATGGGGGTTTAGGTATCTACCGCTGTAACCGGACGCGCTACATCGCTTTGACGCGAGACACCCCTGAAGGTATACGTTAACCTTAAAAGAACACTTTAACACAACTATATTGATCCTTCCGGTGGTTGGAGCACAGGACACAGGTTGGAAGCGACAAGAGCGGTCGTCATTGCTAGAGTAGTAAAAAGTAAAACCTTAGGATAAGAATTCACGAGGCCTTGGAAATTCAGTGCCAGATCTAGACGCTCAACCGAGATCAAGGATTCGAACTTCCAGGCCTGTGCGGTGGCAGTTTGTCTCGTGACTTTTGCTACACAAGCCCAGGTGACAAATCACCTCCCGTTGTCCCAGTTCACTTGACAGAGAAATCGCCATGGAGTCCATGGAAAGCTTGTGACAGCAAAAAATCCAGACTGTTGCTATATGGTATAATCAGCATTGTGCTAAGACTTGTTTCATACGAGAGAAAGTATTTAGATGTACCGTGATAGTCTTACGTTAGTTCTACCATATAATGGGATCCGATTCTTCCAATTAAACATGAATTATTTCAATGGTTAAGTATCGATTTGAGTTAGAGATCGGTGCATGCACATGTAATTTTTGTATTCCCGGGGTATGAAGTCACTCTGCCGTCTGCAAATAATTAATACGTCCATTATAAATGATTCACAAATAGTGTTTTGTTCGTTTGTCTGTTCAGGTAATAACCAGCTTGTAAGGTGTAGATATGTCAGTTGGTAAATTAAAAGAGTAATCTATGTGTTATGTATGGTAAAACCGCTGGCCATGATACACGGTTGTTCAGTTTTGTTAACTAGTCACATTAAACAAGGAGGTCTGTTTTGATCCAACATGGCGTGTGTCTTGAATATGAACACTAGCATTCTAAATGTAGTAAAGTGAAACCTGTATTAAGCGGACCCATATTGAGCGGACACCCTCTATTAAGTAGACACCAGCTTGAGTCCTTAAATTTTCTTCACAATAAACTGTAAAATAAACCTGCATTCAGCGGACACCTCTGTTAAGCGGACGCGGGCACCAATTATAAGCCATTCTGTTGCACAAAACCTGCAATAAGCGGTCACTTCAAAGGACAGCGTGTTACGCTGTGTTTCATAGGGGTTAATAATTAACAATTATTGGATGAGGTTTATGTGATATCCAGAATAATCAAGGTCGAGGCAGGGGTTATCAGCAGAAGCCGAAGGCTGAGGCTGATAACCCTTACCGAGACCTTGATTATTCTGGATATCACAAAAACCGAATCTAACAATTGTTTTATTATACATTGAACGAAAAAAAAAATGGAAGTCATGTTTTTGCATCTTCACCGACGGCAAGCAACCTAGAGCGCGCGAACTTGACACGATTACCCTTAGAAATCATGCACCACGGCCATACATGACATGATTACCCGTGACCTTGAGTGTCCTTGACATGATTACTGTATAATCTGCAGCTAGATAGGTACGTACCTAGCTGCAGATTACGTAGTTTATTTTAATTAACGTGCAGTAGGTAAGTTTATTGTAAGTAGTTTATTGTAATTATATATTGTAAGTGAGCTTTTTTTCTAATAAGAAAAAAATTACAAAATCAGGCGCTGATTTCGAAAATTCAATGTACACTTTCGGCCAATCAGAGAAGAGATAGTGAGTTCAATGTATAATAATTAACTATTATTGCTGAACCTGTTTAGAGTGGACATCCTGTATAAAGCGGATACTAGTGAGAGTCCCAAGGGTGTCCGCTTAATTCAGGTTTCACCGTATGTCGTTGTGATATGCATAAGCGTTCAACAGTTTACAAGTTAATTTTGTGGTTCATCTGAGAATGGTGTTCATAGAGGTCGCTTGTTTCGCTTTGCACTCGGTTAAGCTTAGGCCCGGCGACCTGTGGTTCTAATTAGTATATTTTTAGGTAATTCTTATTGTATATATTTTGAATTTCCATTTTTAATATACTGTGTCCCCAGTTAGCTCCTTCTCACCTAGGAGCTAGATTCTCACTTTACACCTAAAGTAGCTAAGTACATGAGTATCTTCTTCTTCTTCTTCTTCTTCTTACAAGCTCGGTTTTTGATTGACCAAACGAGATAACGGATAGAAAACACAAACAGTGACCCTAACCCTAAGATCAAAAGAGATGCAAACGAGAACTAATTAAAATAAAGCAGAAAGGCACAAGCACAAGAGGATTCTTATGGATTACCATAGGTACAAGAAAAACAATTTAGCATTTTTTTTTCCTCATAGGCGTACAATGAGGATGACAATTAAAGGGTTTGTGTGTGATGGTAATAAAAGCAAAATGATGTTGAAAAGCCATAAAAAGACATATGTGATTCGTGAGTTTACGGCAAAATAATGATAAAAGCAAATAAAAGTGTGCAATTTTGTTATAAAAGTTCCTGTATGCATAAAACGGAATCATGACATGCTATCCATATCAAGGAAAAGCAAACGTCAGATAAAGTTTAAGTAACCAGCAGGCCTTGAAACGTTTTGGAATGTTTTCCTCCAAGTACTTTTGTCCAAACGTGAGCGTTTTGTCCAAAAAAATTCACAATTTCCAAAACTTGGGCCGCATTGAAGTATATAGGAGACCTGCGCCTGGGTCCATGCGTCGTCCATACCACGCCGGAGAAATTTGAAAACACAGCTCTATTTCCATGCCCTTCAAACTGGAGGAATTTGACAACGCCGACCTTTCGCTTTCGTGTGGACGGAAAGCATTTTGAAAACGGAACTTTTCGAAAACGATGACGTCACGATAACCATGATATTTTCCTGACCGAGTTATTCTCAAACACAAATCCAGAATGACTGGTGATTGTTGCGTTTTCAAATTCCTCCGCCAGTAGTGTGAACGGAAAACATTTTATGCGTTTTCAGAGTGAAACCTCCGGTTCCAAATTCCTCCGGGGTAGTGTGGATGGGGCCTCGGTTATCCTGACAACTGTGCTGATAATTGCGATATAATAGATACGATGTAAGTTACGTGCAATTGCTTGATCTGCGCTTGACGCAAGACTATATGTAGATCTCGCACATGTTTCTCAACCACTGACATACCCCTTCATTCAGGAAGCAAGCAGTGTTGTTTACTAATCCATAGTAAAGCAAGTAAGTTCCACCAAAAAGAATAATACTAAGCTATTGTCGGTAATAAATGTTAACAGGGGCTTGTTTTCAAGACACGAGTCGAGGAATAAAATGAGTGAAGATCGAGAGAAGCGAGAAATATTTCTACTTTTTACAATGAACAAATACATCCACTGGAGGGTGCAGACTGAGTGACTTGAGTAAGTTATTAGAAAGCCATAAGGATGGCGTGGAATCCTAAACATCTCAGAATTAAAGAAATACCTTTTCTTGTTTCTTGGGATCTAAAATTAAAAGCCTATAGACACAAAAACACGAACAGGTACACAAATAAATCTTGTCAAAATAAACAACCGCACGTTAGTGCACAGCGATCAAAATGCTTTTTGCCGGATTTTTCGAAACTGTCGGGAGGGAAGCGAAGCTTAAAGTCAAAGTGGTTAATTTCCTGTCAAATATTACAAATAAAAAATGTTTCAAATGTCATTTCAGTTAACGAGTCTAGAGAAGGAGTTTTTTTTTCATTTCTTTGAATAGAAAATATCCTTGAAAATAGTAAAAAAAAAAAAAACGTTTCAAACGTCATTTCAGTTAACGAGTCCAGAGAAGGAGTATTTTTAATTTCTTTGAATAGAAAATATCCTTGAAAATATTACAAATAAAATATGTTTTCAAACGTCATTTCAGTTAACGAGTCCAGGGGAGGCATTTTTAAAATTTCTTTGATTACAGAATATTCTTAAAAATAGCACAAATAAAAAATTTTGTAAGCTTCATTTCAGTCAACGAGGCCCAAGGCCTTTTTAAAATTTCTTTGCAGTTACAAAATATGCTTGAAAAAAAGTGCAAATAAAGAAATGTTCCGATCGTCGTTTAAATTAATGAAACCAGAGAAGGCATTTTTGTTTAAAAAAAATTATTTGATTACAAAATATCCTTGAAAATAATGCAAATAAAAATTGTTTCAAACGTCATTTCAGTTAACGAGTCCATAGAAGGGCGTTTTAAAGAGAACGCAAATGCAGTGACAAATCCAGAGGTGTGTACAGGGGGAAGGGGTAGGGAAATAGAGAGGAGGAGTAAGGCATGCGGAGGTGTATTTTGGCGTATTTTTTTCGCAGATTATTCAGCCTTTCAATCTTCTGCTGCCGTTTCTCCTTCCTTTGCACGGTCTCGTCCACCTTTAGCTTCATAGATGACTGAAGCTGCGTCTTAGCAAAGGCTTGACCTGCGGCAATCCTACTTCTATTCCGTGACGCTCTGTTCCCCGCTTGCTTCCTAATCTCCATTTCTTCGGTCCGCTTGCTCTCGGCTGCTGCCGGCTTAGCTGTAATTTTCGCCGCAGTAGCTTGGGCGGACGTCTCAGTTGGGTGTGGTCGGCTGACTCCGGCCCTGCTGCGCGCGCACTCTCGGATGCGTTGTAATTCCTTCAGTTTTCTCTCTTCGGCAGCGCGCATTTTCTCTTTTATATCATCCAAAGTGAGTTCAGGTGCGACCTTTCGTTTTCTAAACCGCCGCGGAACTCTAGCAGGTGGGCAGACCGTATTCTTGTCTCCAACAGGAATGTAGAAAGCGACTGGGGTCTGCACCTTTCGTTGGAGGGTGGAGTCAGTTGAACTGAGTGGCTGAACAGCGCGGACAGTATTGGAACTTGAAGAGGCGCCGTAAGCGTGGAATGCGTGAATTTCATACGCAGTATTCAATATTCGCTGATCACGACCTACAGCACGAGGCCTGCTGTTCTTATTGCTTGGAGGTGGCGCACTGACGCTTTCGTCGGCTATTGCGTGCATGGCAGCTCCCATTTCTTCCTGTGAGAAATCATCAGACTCGCTTGAGCTGTCATCGCTGAGTGAACTCTTGTTTCGGACTACTGTCAAAGAATGGATATCGGATACATCCTGTTGTTCTCCGTCTTTCCAAAACTCTCGGTCTTGATCATGAAAACATGCCGCGTCTTGGCTGGCAAGCTTCATTTTGCTCGCGACTCGTCGCGGCTCCGTAAAAATCTTCATTGTTGGATCGATCTTATTGTTTGCAGATTTAAACTTTGACAGTAGCGACCCAAACATCTTGCGCAATCTAACTCTGATAACAGTGTATAAAAATAACCTCGGAGATGTTTGTTGTACAACTGTTGTTTGCAACGCGCACAAGCCGCGCCAACAACTTTCCAAAAAGAACAAACTTCTTGTTGCTTTGGATTCGTTTATTACGTGCGAAAACGTCAGCATTTGAATTGACGTAACATTCGAATAAGACTAAAAGGGTTTCACAGCTAACAGCCTTTCAAATTTATCTTGGTGATTGATTTAACATTCTCAACTTTTCGCGCGCTTATTCTTGTTTTCTATTGGTCAACTTCCCGATTGCTAAAACATTTGTTTCCACGTACACATACGGCAACACGTGTGTGTACGTATTTCCACGTGGACATACAGTCCTAAGAGGTCGAACGCACTGCGCGTGCGCAGTTACCACTCTCTTTCCCGCCAGACACTTCCGCTCTAAATTTTTTTAAGGCAAAAGTTAAGACTCTTACTAGAAAGTTTTACTTGATATAGTATGCCGCATATGCATGGAAAATGTAATTGTCGTGACTCACAATTGCTCGAAAGAAGTTTTTTTTTACAAAACTTTTGCACATTTTCTCTTCAAACTCGTGCAAACTTCCAAGCCGCGAAAACCGGAAGTGGCGTTGCAGTTTAGCGTTGACCTTTACAGAGAATTAGCTGAGCCACGCGGTCGCCGTTTCATGGTCAATAGGGCTGCTGCATGTAAAACTATTGCACATTTTCTCTTCAAACTCGTGCAAACTTCGAGGCCGCGAAAACTGGAAGTGGCGTTGCAGTTTAGCGTTGACCGCTACAGAGAATTAGCTGGGCCACGTGGTCGCCGTTTCATGGTCAATAGGGTTGCTGCATGTAACGCGATGTATTTTTAGCACAATGCAAACTAGAAGCAAACTGACCCTGGATCTACTTATGCCGATGCTTATCGTGCTAGTACTGGGAAGGATAAGCCGATATTCAAATAATTTCTTGTGTCGATGCGGTTCTATTTATTATCACTATTATTTTGTTTGTTTGTTTGTTTGATTTTCTTTTCCTCTGGAAGTTGATTCTGAGAAAAGGGAGCTTATAACCAAAACACGACGACGACGGCAACGGGAACGTCACAAACAAAAGGTTTCATGTGCAAAACAATGCCTGTGCACGTACGTTATAAATCTTTGTTCATTTCTTTGTCGTCCTCTGAAAAGCTTAAGAAAACCACGACGGCAACGGCAACGGCAACGGCAACACCGCTAAACAAAAGATATATTGAGCAGGAAAATGGCCGTGCACGTGCGTTATAATTTATATACTGATTGGTTTAAAACCATGTTTCCATTAAACAATAAGATTACGAGTTCGAGATTTCTATCGCGTGATAGTTGACGAGTTCGCAACCCGAGTCAAATATCACGCATAGAAATCGAGCGGGAATAATCTAATTGTTTTAGTATAAATCTACTAGTCGATGAAAACTTTATCTAAATCCTCTTCACAGACACTTCAAAAACGCCAAGAAGCGGTCATAATTTTGTTAACAAGGGCATACTGCTACGTACTCACTATCTATCAAAGAACAGATAATGAGTAGCGTAGCCAATCAGAGAACGGCATTCGTGATAGAACGCCTTAGATTACTAAAACTCTATAGAAACACGGTACATGTTTCCTAAAAAGAAAGTGCATTTATTTGCCGTCCTCTGCAAATCGACAACGCGAAATAACCAAATTCTAAGTTTGTCTGGGAAATGTGAGCCACGACGGCTAATTGTTTAAATTTCTTTTTCAAATTTATCACTGTGTCTAAGATTTAGTTTTGTGATGCTGTTTCGTGATAGTTTTGACAGTGATAAATAAATTTACTCACTTTAGAGTATCGCGAGATTCGTAGGTAAAAATTAAATTCATTTTTTAATTGACGTTGTCCTCGGCGACGCTGTTGTGGTGGCTTAAACTCCCCAACAGTGTGAAGTTCTGCGTAGTCTGAGGAACACGAAAGACGACGGCTAATTTTTCGTACTTGCATTTGGAATTGAACGCTGTCACTGCATATTTAGCCTGAGCTCGTTTTGGAGCCATTGGCGTAATGAACATATCTTTATTGTACATATAGCGAGGATTTTAGGCAATAAACCTTGCAAATAGAATTCTATATGTGCTATATTTCCACATGTGAAAAAAGCGATACGTCCAATCAGCTTCGCGTATAGCGTTCTTCCCATGTGAAAATATAACCAATCACCGTTCAGATTGAATCACTTAGCCAATCAGAGTTAAGCGCGCAAATGGCTTCGCGAACAAGTGCGTTATCCAAAGTTTTGCAACTCGTGAATAAAAATCCGTACGTCGCACTTTCTAAGAAGTAATCTATATATACAATTGCGAAATTTTCCGCGAGCTAGAAAAATATAAATCAATTTTTGACTAGACGTCGTCCTTGGCGCTGCCGTCGTCGCTGCTTACTAGGGAGCGTGGTATTATGTTTGAATTTTTTTTTAAATTTAGGAGGTTCAAGCGAACCCCTCGAGACAACCCCTTGCCCTCCCCCACCCTGCCCCCTAAATCCGTCCTAGGTTATTACAATCACTCTTTATCAGTTGATGCTTCAATTGTTGTATCAAAAACTGCTTAATCATTGTTCAACAAGTTGTTATCATTTTTGCGCCACAATGACATAGTTACCATAGCAACAGTATGGCATGCGCTGTAATGCAAATTAATTAACAATTACTCACCGAAGTGGAGGTGAATAGTACTTGCTAATCACCTCCGAGTTAATTAACCAATCAGAGCGCGCGAAGAGCACTATTCACTTGTGTGGTATATACTAATACAAGTTATTATATGGAGCAATTTAAGATTTACTCCACTGATGATATTTGAAAATTTTTCGAAACTGCATTCGTTTAAAGGCTTGTACAATTTTGAGAGAATTTTGAAATATCACGAGTAGTGTAAATTCTTAATTAAATTTTGCACTCCCATTCATGCAGGTGTTCAGTGTACCAATTAATTATTACATGATTAACATCACCAATCACCCACAAACACACAATCCACTTTTAAAGTTTGGAATAAAGTAATG